GGTCCGGGGGTCGGCGGGAGGGGTCTCTGGGGGACACGGGCTTGCTGCGGCTCTTGATCTGGCCTCAGAGGGGGATGGAGGGGAAAAACTGTCCCGGGGAGATCCCTAAAATGTTCCCCCCTGCCCCCTGTGTTATTTTTAACCTCGATTCCCCTACAAACGGCGGAGGAGCGAGGTGCTGCTCTCTCCGGCTTTCCCCAGCCCTAGCTGGCTGTTGTGGGCATCCCCTCCCTCCCCGCCCTGCCCGTCCCCGCAGCCCCTCGCTTGTGTTGCAGTTCCTGCACGGCCGAGGCCAGAAGGAGTTGAGCGTGCAGATGGTGCAGACGATGAAGATCGGCTTGAAAGACCAAAACAAGGGGCTCTTCTCCATCTGGCAAGACATCTTCCAGCTCCCAAAGGTCCAAAGGTATGGGAGGGGGATTTGTTAGTTCTGCTCTCTGCTTGGAGCGCACTGCTTCGGTATTCCCTGACCTGCTTGCAAGACCTGCGGTGGGGAAACCTGAAAGGTCCTGGAGAGCTGGTCTGCCCTGCAGCAGACCCGGCTTCGTCAGTAGATTTGTGTGTCCAGCTTGGGCTCTCCTTAGTGCCCGATAATTTGGCATCGGTATCGCCACCAGTCCAGTTTGCCAGGGTCCCAGCATTCCTCGCTGGGCCGTTCAGCGCCGGGACACCCTGAGCTCTTCCCTTTGGGCTCCCCCCCCCAGGCACAGGATAGGAATGGACCCCGCTTTGCCAACCCAGCTCCTGGTGGGCGAGGAGGACCTGTCGCCCCTCGGCGGGACGGCTGGCTTCAACGCGTCCTCCCACCGCTTCCACCACATCCTGCGCCTCGCCGTCTCCTCGGGGGAGCAGGAGAAGCTCGCCCAGGTAAACCAGCCAAGGGGACAGCCAGGCCCCTTCCTCTGCTGTGCGGTGCTGGCGCTGAGCTCGCTGGGATGCTTCAAATCCCAGTTAGCGTGCTCTGACGGGACCGTCCACCCAACCTCGAGCCGTCTCAACCCTCCTTGCAGGGTCTGTACGACAATTTCCTGAACATGAAGCTGCGGGACTCCAGTTTCAGCTCGGTGTGCTTGGCCCTGGAGTGGCTGGGCTTCTCCGACCTGCTGAGCCGCGCTGTCCTGCACGGGCAGAGCTTCCAGCTGATGCGATACCTGCCCTTCCTCCCCGTGGCTTTCCACCTGCTCTTCGCCGCCACCAGCATCCCCCGGCTCGCTTATCCCAGCAGCCAGCCCGAGGCAAGGCGCGAGGGGGGCACGGTGGCAGCGTGGCTCTGTCGCCCACGAGGCTGTCTGTGGTTGCAGCCGTGGCTGAGCCGTCCCTGCCCTCTTCCCCCCCCAGGCCCTGGCCAAGCTGAACCACATGCAGAACCTCGTCGTGTCCATGGTGTCGGGGATAACGCCCGGCGCCCGCAGCCGCGCGGGGCAGCGGTCTCTCATCCTGGAGGTGCTCTGTCTGCTGCTGGACATCATCGCCCCAAAGCTCCGCCCGGTGAGTGCCCACCAGCCCCATCTCCCTGCGGTGGCAGGGCTCCTGTCTGGGTGACGTGTCCCCTCTGCGACCTCCCCCCCGTGATGGCTGGGACACGTCCCCTGCGCTGCATCCCCCAGGCTGAGCTATCCCAGACCTCTGCCCAAATTCGGGGTCGGGTTGATGTGGCAACTGGGGCGGGAGTTGGAGGGAAGCCGGGGATGTGGCGCTGAGATACCTCGCTGCTGGGTGGGCCCCTGCGCCCAGGGGGTGGGCTTGGCTGAGCAGGGCTTTGGGGAGCCGTTGCAGTCGCCTTCCAGCAGCTGGTTCACCTGCAGACACGGCTGCGTTGGGTGCATTTGCCCTTTGGGCTGTTGGAAGGGACTGTCCCTGCTCCGTGAAGTACGTGTGTCCCTCACAGGAAACTAAACTCGGCCCAGACCTCGTGGGTATTCACTGTCCTGCCTCGTGTAGAGACAAACCCCGTGCTTCAGGTTATTTTTATGTTGAGAAGTTACGGATCAGTGATGCTCTCCCCTTACTGGGCTCCTCCCCAGGTGAACACCCAGCTCTACAGCCAGAAGGAGAAGCAGCAGCTGGCAGACCTCATCAGCACCATGCTGGCCTACAACCTCACCTACCACCAGGAACGCCTGCCCGAGGGCCAGTACGTCTACAAGCTCGACCCGTAAGTCCAGAGGGTGGGGAGAAGGCGTAGGAACCGACAGTAATACCGGCAGAGAGCTCAGGAAGGAGCTGGAGCCCAAAGGCGTCGTGGTGTTGAGTTGGTTCCTTGCAGCCAGAGGTTTCTCCGGCGATGGCAGCCGCGTTGGCAGAGCTGCCCGTGCTGGCACGGCTGCAGGGAGCCCACTTTCTCCGCGGGGATTTTTTTAAAGGAGGAGCCTGGAGCGGGACTGGATTTGCTTTACTGGGGTTAAAGGAGAAGCAGCAGCTGCCTTTGGCTCTCGCCGGAGCCGGCAGAGGAGGGACCGAAGCTGCCCAGGGCTGGTGGCAGCAGGGCAGAGCAGGTCAGCCTGGGCACGTGGCGCACAGGAGGTCACTGTAACTGCGGTTCGGTTAAAGGGTGACAGCCGGTGCTGCTGGACTGGAGTCTCGCTGTGCTTTAAGGATACACGGAGCTGCAAACGCTCCCGAGGCTTCGGTGAAGAAGTAATACAGACCCGGCCCCAGCTAGCAGCAGCGCTAATGCCTTCCTGGTGCAAAGTTAATTACCAAAATTAGCCTCTGTTAAATCAAGCAGCTGTATCTAATTACAGCGAAGCGCTTGATGATTTATTTTTTTTTGCCTGCAGAAAGGCCTGCGGGGGCTGCGGGGAGCCGTGTGTGTGTGTGTCCCCCCCGCCCTGCCCTTCCCACACACCCTGCCCTCCCCACGCCGGGCTGTGCCGCCGCGAGCGCGGCCGCAGGGAAACCGCGGGGCTTGGGGAGCCGCGTGGCGCCGGCTTTGCTCTGCTGCGCCTTTTGGGCCCCGTCGGAGCCCGTGGCCTGCCCGGGCGCGGCGGTGGTGGGGACCACGGGGGTGTCACGTCCCCGTGGTGGCACCTGCGAGTCGCATCCCAGCGTCTCCTCCCCACGCCGGGCTGTGCCGCCGCGAGCGCGGCCGCAGGGAAACCGCGGGGCTTGGGGAGCCGCGTGGCGCCGGCTTTGCTCTGCTGCGCCTTTTGGGCCCCGTCGGAGCCCGTGGCCTGCCCGGGCGCGGCGGTGGTGGGGACCACGGGGGTGTCACGTCCCCGTGGTGGCACCTGCGAGTCGCATCCCAGCGTCTCCCTGGCAAACAAAGCTGTTGGCGGCGGCAAAACCTGAGTTTGCTCTTCACAGCGTTTAAAATCGTGGGTTTTACAGCTGAGTTCTACCTGACACAGGATTTTGCTCCCTTTATTTTAAGGGGAGTAGTACTGAACATGAACCAAGCGTGGAATATTTACAGCTGGCAGGGGGACTGGCCCAGCTGGCTGCTTGGTGCTGGGGCTGCGCCTGGGCTTTTGCCTGAAACAGGCCTCACTCGTTAAGAATAAAACCGCCCTGATTAGCCAAAATTACTGTTCATGGCCGTCTCTCAATTAAACGGCTCCCCGCGGGCGCCTCGGGGTTCACGCGGAGGGTCGTGGTGCCGCTCGTGCCCAAGCTGTGATGTGACCGTGGCTTCTTCAGGGCAATCTGTTCGGCGCAGCCCCGCCTGCGGTTTCCTCTCCTTGCAATAAAACCCGGATTAAAAAGCACAAAATCCCTCCTGAGTCCCCATTCAGCTGAGATGCCCCGCAGCAACCTGGCTCTGCGCGGCCAGCACCGCTCACTGGGCAGCTTGTCGTGCTGCCAGAGAGGGCAGCGATGGGGAAACTGAGGCACCGTGGCCGTGTTGGTAGCAAGAGGCTGGGGAGGGTGGGGTTGGGCGTCTGGTGGGGCTCCCCACGTCTGTGTCAGGCTCCAGTTTATATATTTATTTTCAGGATTGATTTCTTTCCTCTACTTCCCCTCTCTCCACAACGCAGGAACGTGGAGGACGTCTGCCGGTTCCCGGACCTGCCGGCTCGCAGGCAGCTGACCTACCAGGCCAAGCAGCTCATCGCCAGGGAGATCGAGCTGGAGAAGATGAGGAGGGTGGAGGCTTTGCTGCAGGCGCGAAACCTGGGCGAGGTAGGGAGGGCTGGGGGTGCCCCGGTGTTTCGGGGGCGGGGGGGGGGGCCGCCGGCG